AGAAGAAGAGATCAAGGCTGGCCCCTGGCTCACCCCAGCTCTGCTCTTCCCAGGCATCTTCAGCAGCATGTTCTGCAGCCAGCAGGTGAACCACGGGATGTTGGCCGTGGGCTACGGCACGAGCCAGGAGCACGGACACAACGTGAGCTACTGGATCTTAAAGAACAGGTTTGGGCTGAGGGTGTCCCCCAAAATCCACTGCCTCTTCCACTGCCAGGCATGGCTCGTCCCCCACTGTTGCTGGGGTTGGAGCTGTTTGGCAGGAGCATCCTTGTTCCATGAGGAGCTCCAGTGCCTGTCCCTGTCTCGCTCACCCTCCCTAAGCAGGGCCAGGTCTCCATGTGCGTGGGAACACGGATGTGCTCATTCTCCATCTCTTCCTGCAGCTGGTCGGAGCTGTGGGGTGAGCAGGGCTACATCCGCCTGCTGAAGGGCGCTGACAATCAGTGTGGGGTGGCCAACCAGGCCAGCTTCCCCGTGCTGTGATCCAGGACATCCCCCCTGCTCCGGGCACCTCTCCCTGCCCTGGCTGTGGATCCACGGCTGTTTCCTTCTGGAAAAGGGGCTTTTGTTTGTGGTGAGAAGCAATTAAAAGTGGCACAGCTAATCACCCTGCGCTGGGCAGGTTTTGGTGGCTGGAGGAAGGCTGATGCTGCTGGTCCATTTCCGGGTGGGAAAAGCAAAGCTCTCTGTGCAAGAGGCTCTTTCTCTGAGTCTTTCCTCCCAGCTTGGCCCACCTCTTTCCCCTCCTGCAGCCCCTTTTCCTTTCACTTGAATCCCAAAAGCCACCAGCCAGGGATGGGTCTGGCCACAGCCCCACATGAGCTGAGCCAACACCACTGTCCCTGCACACTGAGCTCTTTAAATAAATCACTTTTACCCCAATCAACCTCTGTGACATGGCAGAAAACGACCCTTTCCCCTCATCCTGCTTTTTATTTCCCCTCCCCTCATTCTGCTTTTTATTTTTCCCCCCATCCTGAATAATTTGAGGGATTTAGTGCCACACACAGCCCAGCAGCCTGGAGGGTGAGTGATGCCCAGGCTGGGGTGAGAGGGATGTGGGGCACAGCCTGATGGCAGCGTGGGCCCCCCCAAAATATCCCACAGCTGCCCCATAATCCCCTGTGGGAGTGACCAG